CATAGCCAACCCCACCTCAAGAGGCCGCCATTACTGGACTAAAGCTGAAGGTACACACTGATGGGGCTGCTAGCACAGTAACTTTCTCATTGGGTACCGGGGCCACCTACTCTGTCTGTACTTCCTTATTTAGACCACTCTCCTCAAGATCTCCCACCACACTATGTGTAGCAGAAAGGTTTACAACCACATCTTTATCTTTACTTTAAATAGACAGATTCACAAACGCATAAGCAACAACTAACATGCACTGTTCAGTTTAAAGGATTTAGAGACAGCCCTCATTTGTTCAGATAAGCATTGGCAGCGACTTAAGGGACCTGTCACTTGAAGGGAGTAGGCTAGTAATCCAATATGTAGATGACCTACTTATGTATCCCCCACATAGGAACTGGCCATAAACATCTAATACAAACCCTAAGTTTTCTTGTACTGTTAATCTAGAGCAGATGGAAAAAGTCTCACAGAAATATCGAAACAAAGTCAAGGCTACAGCACAAACAAGTTTAACCTCAGACACAGTCTATGTAAGAGTTTGGAGAGACAGTTCCCATAATTTTCAATTATAGCCCTCACTGAAAGGACCCCTGTCTATGCTCATGTCTTCCCCAACAGCCATCAAGGTCCCTTTCACCTCCTGCTGGATGCATCACTCTCCAGTCAAACTGTGGAAGGATCCAACTCCCTCAAGATTTTGGAAACAGCTGGATAATACCACCTACTCCTGTAGGCTGGCAGAGGACCTCAAATTCTTCTTCAAAAAAAGAACTGTCACAGATAAGTAACACAACTAGTCATTCATATATTTATCTCTCATATTTCTACCAGCTTGTCCATAATCTCAGCCTCTGGCCACAGAAAGGTATTTTTGTATCCCTGTTGGATTTAACACTTATCAGATAGTGCTCCAGGCCCTCTGCTCCTCTAACCTTCCTGTCCAGTTTGTCGCCCTCAGGATACAACAATCACCATGACCCTTAGGCCCCCAGGCTCCAAACATCTATCTGCGAACAATGTACAGGCACTTTTCTCCAACTCCTCTGAGTAATATTAGCCAAAGGATGGAACCCAAAGAAGTATTAATGTCCCTTTTACAGCAGGAAGTAGCCAGAGCAGTTGTCTCCCAAAGTCTTCAAAGATTTGGGTCCTGCTTGCTTGAGGGGTGATGTTAGGTAGGATAGGTATTCAAACTAAGACTGGGAGGGGGAAGGAGACATGTCTCAGCCATTGACTCAGCAGTTCTGAGCCTGATCTCATAAGATTGCCAGGTGCTCTGAACATCAGGGGCAGAGATGGCAGGAGGAGGGGAGTCCTTGAGACTCTGTGCTGGGAAAGGGAACCTTGGCAGCAATTTCATTAACTAAGACAAAGTCCTCTAAGGGCTGAAAGGAAAGCCTCTGTAGCTGTACATTATTCCCCAGGTTTGGAGCCAGAAGAAGAGTGGTACCTACAAGGGACTGAAGTACACAATCCATAACCCCCATGGCAGGCACACTGACATGAACTTAGTGCCCACTTGTATCCTTGGCTCAAGTGTAAGGAACAAACTGACTAAGAAACTTACTACAACGTTACTGCCTGTATACACAGGGCATCTAGACTAGCTCGGAGCCTGCTTGCAGCTTTGTGCTTATATGTGTTTCATAAATAAACTTGCTATCTCGTCTCCACTACATGCATTGTCTCGGCTTGAATTCATGTCCTTCAGCAGGAAAAGAATGGAGGAACAAGGTGCAGGTGGGAGGCAATGGGGTGGTTCCCTGACTCGGGTCGCTCCCTGTAACACGAGAACTGAAGTTCATTGTTTTATACTGTTTTTCACTTTCCCAGTGTCATTTTTGAAGAGCATGTTATTTCCCATGGAATTGTTCCAGTTCCTTCATTGAAAATGAACTGACCACACATGTGTGGGTCTGTTGTTAAACATTCTGTTCTGTCCATTAATCTATTTGTATAAGCACCAGCCACATCACATTGAGTTAATTACTATAGATCTGTATTTTTTAAAAAGATTTTATTTATTTATCTTTAGAGGGAAAGGAAAGGAGAGAGAGGAAGAGAAATATCAGTGTATGGTTGGGTCTCATGGGTCCCCTGCTGGAAACTGCCTGCAACCCAGGCATGTGCCCTGACTGGGAATCAAACCACAATCCTCTAGTTTGCAGGCCCGCACTCAATCCACTGAGCTACACCAGCCAGGGCTAGATCTGCATTTTTGAAATGAGATATTTACATCACTCAGCAAAGGTTTGCAATATGTAGTTCAATTTATTTTAAATTTTATTCATCATGCTATTGGTGTAATTTTTCATTGTTGCCCTAATCCAAGTTTGCACAACATTTCTCCTATGTTTTACTCTAAAAGTTTTATTGGTTTATCTCATCCATTTAGATGTCTGACCAATTGTAAATGAATATTTGTATATGGTGTAAAATAAAGGGCTAAATTGAACTTTAGGTGTGTGGATATTCAATTTTGCCATCATTTGTTGAGAAAATGAAAGACATCATTTCCTCATTGAATTGTATTGGTATCTTTTCAATGGTCACCTGACCATGATGGTGAGTGTTAATAGCTAAACTTCAATCCTGTTTCATTGGTAAACATCAATAATTCTCAACCAGTGTGGTGCAAGAATATTTAAAACAGTGATACCTGACAATTTAGTCATTGCCACTACATTCTTTATCTTAGATTGTCCAATGCAGTTAAGACATTATGGTCCAATGGGAATGAATCAGAATTTTACCTGTGTTTGGTCAGATCAGAAAAAATATGTATTGCATTGAGGTGCAGAATTTTAATAATTAGTTCATGTGCTTCATGAGATAAAAAAAACATTGAAAATCGCTGATATATATGTCTATCATTGTTCAAGTAGTGAAGTCTCTTGGTTAAAGAGCTTTGTGACAAGTTTTAAAATTAGGAACTATAATTCTTTAACTTTGTTCTTTAAAAAAATTCATTTGGCTATTGTGAGTGCTCTGCATTCCATAAACACTTCAGAATTAGTTTCACCTTCTGCAACATAGCTTTCTGATATTAATAGTGATGCATTGAATGTATAGATCATGTGTTCACCTAAATACTCCCCTTTAACCTGGATTTTAGCTCACTGGTCCTCCTTCCTTACTCAGCTCTGTGATGTGGTTAAAACAAAATTTTGACAATTTATTCCCCATATCTCGGTTTTTGCCAGAGGTAATCTCTCTTTTTTCTGTTGCTACCTTATACTCATAAGCTTAAGTTCTCCCAGGTTAACTTTGAAGAACCAAATATCACAGGGTCAAGTGAGAAGCAATCCTCTGTGCTCGTTGTCTGTACCAGACAGGCCCAACTGAGAGCACCTACCCAGACAGTGTACTCCTCCACAGAAAGACTACCAGAGGCTTGTTATGGATGTCTGATATTTTACTGATGATTATGGTGGCAGGGAGTGCTTGTAAAGGTAAGTCCAAGATCAGAGGTACACAGAGCAGAGCACCTGGCCTTTCCTTCACGGCAGTCCAGCTCTAAGCTCATCCTCTAATGAACAATTATAATGTAGAAACCGAATCAATAAAATCTAGAGTAGTGGTTGATTTTAACATTTATCAGTCTTAATGTATTAAGTATTCAGAAATGAGTTGAACAGAGAAAATTAACTCAATTTTTATATAGAGAAAAGTGTACCTTCTCCCATGGAAACAATAAAGATATTTAAGATAAATTTGTTCTTTTAGAAAGACTGTGTTTATTACTGTTTAGAGAGAGGGGGATGGAAGGAGACAGAGAGAAACATTGCTGTATGAGGGCAAAACATCTGCCTGTCCCACGCCCTCACCCAGGGCCATGGTGCACAACCCAGGCATGAACCCTGATCAGGAATGGAACCAGCGACCACGTGGTTCTCAGGCCGGGCTCAGTCCACTGAACCACAGCAGCAAGGGCTGGAACCCACATGTAAATTAGAAGTTTCCATGAAGTATTTATAAGATTTCTGCACATTTCAATTAAAAATTAATATTTAAATATAAAATAGCCTCAAACGGGAAACTTCATCAAAGCCCTAACAGAGATATGTTTGATATCTATAAGCAATGAAATAATGAAATAAAGGATGGGCCAAAATAAGAGAACTTATGACACTCATTTTCCATTTTGAAACTTATAGGACAATCAATCCTTCCACGCACGAGGCGTGTGTATGCACATGTTCGTGTCCCACTGCTTTACCGACAATGAAATTATTCTTTAGTGTAAGTTAACAGGAAGCACATCACAGTGAGCATTGGCCTTGCTGAGGTCCTCAAGAAAACCTTGGTGCTTTAATAGGAAACGCTAGAATTGTTTCTTCGTAAACCTGGCATGTAAAGCAAACACCAAAATGGGGAGATAAATGGTGACAGAAGGAGACTTGACTTTGCGTATTGTATGCACAATGCAATATGTAGATGGTATAATTGAACTGTATTTTTGAAACCTATATAATTATATTAACCAATATCACCCCAAGAAATTGAGGAAAGTTTTAAAATGCCATAGAGGTGATGATCCTAACAATGACCAAGTTCTATTGAACAATTTAGCATTTACTGTATTCAATGAATTGGGACATAAATATCATTTAGAAGAAAGTTAATGAACACAAATTATGGAGAAGTTAAACAAAGAAAATTCTATAATGGTTAAAGCGAACATGTCTATATTTGCATGATAGCAAATGAGAATTCATCTTTCACAACAACATCAGCTATTAAATATTCCAAGCTACAGACAAGGCATAAAATATTTGAATGGGAGTTAATTTGAGCTGTGTGGGGCATAACAATGTTTTTCATAAACTAACACTGAGCTCTTCCATTACCATACATTGGTGCTTTCATGCTTGACATTGGTCACAGATTAGAAAAAACAGAAATTTTATAGCCATTCAAGATCAGCTGTAAATAGAAATTCAGGTCAGAATATTAAAGGAATCACAGCCAGTGATATCAGATGTGGCCTGTTTTTTCTAGACATGGAAAGTTTATTACTGAGCATTCTTTCTATCCTAGTGATAGCAGAATTTGTTTTAGGCAATTTTGCCAATATCTTCATAGCTCTGGTGAATGTCATTGACTGGGTCAAGGGACAAAAGGTCTCCTGTGCTGATGGAATTCTCACTGCCCTGGCGGTTTCCAGGATTGGATTGCTCTGGGTAATATTATTAAATTCATATGCAACTGTGTACAATCCAGCTTTTTACACTTCAGAAGGAAGAACTCTTGTTTATATTGCCTGGGTAGTAAGCAACCATTTTAGCCTTTGGTTTGCTGTTAGCCTCAGCATATTTTATTTGCTCAAGATAGCCAATTTCTCCAGCCTTTTCTTTCTTCACCTAAAATGGAAAGCTAGAAGAGTGGTTCTCATGGTACTGGTGGGCTCTTTAGTCTTCTTGGTTTGTCATCTTGCAGAGGTGAGCCTAAAGTTAAAAATGGGGAAGAATGATAATGAAGGAAACATCACTTGGGTGATCAAGTTGCAGCACATTTTACGCCTCTCAGATATGACTGTATTCACGATTGTGTACATAACACCCTTTACCATGTCCCTGATGACTTTACTGCTGTTACTCTTTTCTCTGTGGAAACATCTCAAGAAGATGCAGCTCAGTGTCAAAGGATCCCAAGATGCCAGCACCAAAGTCCACGTAAGAGCCATGCAAACTGTCATTTCCTTTCTCTTGCTCTTTTTCATTTACTCCCTGGCTCGGATCACCTCAATGTGGAATTCTAATACTCTAGCGGACAATTCAGTTGCCATGTTTTCTCGGTTCTTCGGACTCCTGTATTGCTCGTTCCACTCATTTGTCCTGATTTGGGGGAGTAAGAAGTTAAGACAGGCCATTCTGTCATTTCTGTCACAGCTGAAGTGCTGGCTGAAAATGAACTGAAGAAGTGTAACATTTTGTGGTTCCCTCTACATTTGTTAATGTGCATAAACTTGGGTTAGATATTTCTTTTTTTTTAAAGATTTTATTTATTTATCTTTGGAGGGGAAAGGAAGGAGAGAGGGAGAGAAATTCAATGTATGGTTGCCTCTCATGTGTCCTCTGCTGGGAACTAGTCTCCAATCCAGGCATGTGCCCTGACTGGGAATCTAACCAGGATACTCTGGTTTGCAGGCTGCGCTCAATCCACTGAGCTACACCAGCCAGGACGGGTTAGATATTTCTAAATAAACTTTCATTTCAGCTTATCACAAAAACTCATATGTGTGCATGTTTATGAAAAATACAAGAAAGATGATAAAATTACTAATGTATTTTTTCATGTAAGTCATTGTATTTTTACAATAATGTAAGAAATTGCTGTTAATTATGAAGCCGTGCATATTTTACATATGTATTGTATGCTACCATCTTTCAATTAAAAATGTAAGATTGATATTTATATATTTTTAAAGACCTACAACTTATCTCAGAAAATAATTCTTATTTTCTCTTCTAGTATGTACTACACATAGCTCCTAGACTATATTTAGATATATTTTTTAGAACCTCCAATCTTTTTCATGGTACAAATATTCATTGTAAATCACACAATGAGGATGGATGTTTGGGATCCATATTAATCCATCATGACTTCTTACTTCTTGGTTAGTAGCAATCAGTACTGTTAAGAAAAGATACACATAATGCCAATGAGAAGGGATACAGGCATTAGAATATATCTTATGTATGTGAACAATGCACAATGTTAGAGATTTTTAGATTTCATATAAGTAGGTAAGACTTTACACAAAATTTGTACAGTAGGGCTGAAGAAGAAACCAAAGTGATCACGAGGTTTTAATGCTGCTGTGGTTCCACATGCAGGTAAAGAAGTCATTTCTTGCACTTTCTGAATTTAGAAGACCTTTTTTGGAGTTGGAAATGGATGTCAGTTTCTTCATTTTACCCTTAAAACACCTTCAGGCCTCTGAAATCCTAGTGATCTTCTCCATCTTGTGACCTAAAAATTCTTTTTAAATTGAAGGTAGACTCAAATCTTCCCTACTTAAAAATATGCTTGGTATAGAATTAAAAAAATTATGAAATTTAAGTCAGTAAGCTTTCTGGATATATTAAAATTATGACACATAATGCCTATGTTATCATTATAAAACTATCTTCAAGATCTGTTTTTAGTAAAGTCTTATGGAAAATTATAACATAGAAAAAGCATTGAAAAAAATTGGCAGCAATGTCTATTACATGAAAGAAATGTACAATTTTCTTTAACAACTGAATTTACATGTCTATTATTATGAGTATCAAGAAATTTTACCAGCATTATCTATACTTTAAAATAAATCTTTGCCACATGTGAATTTTTCATTGTTTTAGTCATCTCTCTGCCCCAGTAGAATTTAATCCTTATACTGTGGGATGATGTCTCCCTTGTTTCTTGCTGACTCCTCAGGACATAAAAGCCAGCCCATGGTACAGTTCATGAAAATAACATTCTAAAGACTAAAACAATGGATGAATAACCTATATTAGTGCTGGAAAACCGATGACAACAAAACCCATCACAAAATCTACAGGTGTCTTACTTCCTAGTTTTGTTTCTCCATCCTGTAAATACTTCTAAACAAATCTGCACATGCTCAGTTCCAATCCCTGCCTAAGACTGGGGAAATGAACTGCAGTCACGTATATGCTCCAAAACACAAAGTGAATCACACATAACTTGACTTTAGTGTTGCTTTACTGACAGCCCTGGTGTGTCTGAGGAGCCTCTGTTGCAGTTACCTAGGAATCAGGCTGATTGCAAACATACCATCTTGAACACAGAGTTTCCAGGATTGCCTTGGAGTCCTCCCCATGCCAGAGAGAGGGAGGGGGAAGATGTGTGGAGGAGCACATGTGGGGAGACTTTTGGGGGATGGGCTTGTAAATGCTGCACATAATTTTCACTCACACAATATTGTTCAGATTCCTTCACATTGCCACACCATCTGTAAGGCAGGCTGAAACATACAGTCACTGTGTAGCCCAGAAAGAAGATGAAGACCCTGAATTTAGGGCAGAGATGTTTCAGGGTGCTTAGTAACACTGCTATGGAAAAACCGACTAGTTATTGTAACACAAAGGAAGTTCCTTTGTTTAGAAAGGTGCTGTAGCTTGTTCATGTCACTCTAAAAGTTAGACATGCTTTTACATCAGTCTTGAATTTTTCTCTCTGTATTCATAAGTTGTAAATAATTCAAGTTCCCACTAAATATTACTGTCTTCATAAAAGCATAATCAATCAACTCTGCATTGCAGCACTTGTAGCTTCCTCATGTGATTTCCCAGTCTGATTTGCTTATAACTTCTAATTTAGTTTCTACAACATTTCTTACTAATTATATTTAATTATTTGTCCATTGGGTTGGTTGTGGCTTTGAACTAAAAATAATTGCCAAAATTACTTCTATAAGTCAAATTGCAACAAAAATAATTGATATATAAATGATCTTAATTATGAGTAAAATATAGTGACTGAATTATATGAAGTTGCTTTCTCTTAGCAATTAATATTCAAAATTTAAAATATTTGCATTTAAATATATGGTTCAAGAAGATGAGAGTGCAAAGTTGTTTGTAATAATCTCTGTCATACTTGCATGTTTGTATATGTGACTTCAGTGTTTTGGTCAGTAGCACTGTGGCGAACACTGCCCAGCAGAGTCTGCCTGTTGTGACTGAAAGAGAGAATAAATGCACAGGAGACAGAAATCCTGCAGAGAAAAAGGGAACGGCACTGCTCCCCTCTCAAGGGGAGAGCACCTCTGAGTGCCTCCGCTACTCTCTTGAGGAGAGTGCAACGACTGTTGCCTAGACAGGCTTTTGTTATTTTTCTCAGGTCTTACATCAAAGAAGGATTTATTATCTATTATATAGAATACTATTGTGTACATTTAGGTACAATCAAGGAAATGAAAATAACATATGCAGAAGGGAAAGGCAGTGAGCTGATTAGCTCTGTCCTTGGAAAAATTCACACAGGCTTAGGAAATTACCTTGAAGATAGATAATACACATGTGTTGTTTTAGACTAGGGTAATGGAGTTTTAGCAAGTTCTAGCCATAACAGTCTGTATGCATTTTCTAGGCCTGATTCCCATGGGAAAACTTGGTTTGAAGGTCTGGCTCCTGCCCACCACTTCGCTTCTGTCAGTTTTCCATACAGAGCTGAGTCACGTTTGCCAGACCAAAACAAGCTGGTCTCTTACAATTCCCCACCCTTTTTTTTCTTTTTGTCAAGCTGTTGTGGTGACACATCCCACAGGATTTGCTACTTGCTGGTCTCTTTTGCCACCCCCGGCAAATAATTAGTAAATGCATTGAAATATACAAAGCATTATTAAGATCAGTAAACAATCTGCAGCTCCAGGGACTCACAATCTTAGGTTGAGTCCATCAAACCAATGTTTTGGATTTAGTGAGATGAGATTATCATAAAGTGTTTGAAGAATTTCCTGCTTAGTTAAGCATTGAATGTCCTGCAACTGTTGGTGTAACCCCTGTTACATTTAGTAATTTGTCCCTTTAAATTAGTAGAAAAAGCTCTTCTTAGGTGATGTTGAATATCACTCCAGGAGTATTGGCTGGAGTTTCATTGTAGTGGGGTGACACATAGTTTGGAGAAAGCAGGATCACAGGGTAGTTGCTGATGGGTCACTAGTGCATCTTGGCATTCATCAATCCAATTGAGGGCTGATTCAACTGCAGAAAGGTTGGACAGGATTTCTTGATCAATTTGGGCCTGTTGAAGGAATTGGTTAAGAGAACATCAACAGTATGAGCAGTTTGCATTGACCTAATGAGGCAGTGGTTCCTGTGGCAGCAGTAGCCGCAACAACCATAGCAGAGACAATAAATGCAGTTAAGATGCCAACAGATCATTGGATTCTTAAGGAGGCCAGCACATTGTTAAGCACTACTATGCTATTGTGATCTTCCCATTCTCTGGTTATATTAACTGGCACCTATACTTGAGTTTGTCTTCTAACTATATAAACTGTTGTGAGGTTTAACTGAGTAATACTGAGATGAGTAAGACAGCTGGTATATATGGAGCCTGCAGGGACAGGCAGAGAATTAATTTTTGCTGATTTATTATAAAAGACTTGCACTGTCCCTGGAGTTGCCAAAAACAAGTAAGGGTGAGAAGCACAAACTGTGACCAAATCCTGTTTTAGAGGGCTATCCTGGTAGAGACTGTAAAAAATTTTTTATACAGGCATTTTCTAGTAATAAAAGGCAAGCCCATTTTCTGAGAGTTGTAATGCCAAGGGCTAGTGTGGTTGGGAGAAACAATTCTGATTATAGGTGCCCCAGTACCAGGCCCCTCCCACCACATATTAGTATATGGGAATTGAGGCAGAGCCTAAACTATTGTTGTGTCATACTTATCCAGTATCTTCCAATTAGATCCCCAGTTCTCCACCATAAAAGGACTTTGAGGGGAGAAAAGCAATAGTGGCATTTGGTCCTCTGCACAAAGACCAAGAGACTGAGTCTTTAAGGCTACTGTCTAAAGTACAAGGAGGAAGCAGAGGTGGGTTGAGAATATGATAAATCCCCTCCTGGGCATGCAGGCCAATTGTAGTTACTATGGAAAGCTGATAGTAATTACTGTATTGCTCCTTGCTTGCAGCATAAAGTTGCTCCTTTAAAGGAAAACACAAAATGTCAGTAAGAACAGAAAAATAAACTAGTAAATACTTAGCAACATAAACCGTATTTTTTGGCACTGGCATTCAGTGCTTGTTTTCTTCTAATGGGCTATCTGGTCTGTTAGCTGATCAGTTTTCATTTCTAGGTAGCGGAGCTTGATGGGTTTTTTTGCTTATGATAAGGTTTCACCCTTTTGGCTGGAAGCCAGGCAGGACCTGTAGGAATGGAAACACATGCATACCCTC